CTACAAGCGAGTCTCTGCAGATAGGGGGAGAGCGCAGGGACCGCCCTGGACATTAACACAAAGGGAAATCCTGAAAGAGACAGCCTGGGGATGAGAACAAAGCTCTGACATGAACAAATAGCACCTTGAGACATCCCAAGTGACAAGCACAGGCCTATGTGACACCGCTCCACTAGCACGGGAAAGGGATTTCACCGAGACAGTCCAGAGAGAAGAGACAGCTTGGCAGAGACTCAATGTAGAGGGTTTTGGCATGGAAGCTGGGCCTGATCAAAAAGAACCAGCCACAGAACTGACACTCTAACGGTGAGATTCATACCTATTCTGCATTCCAGATCATGGATCTGTGTCTCCCACAGAGCTGACACTCTAACAATGTGATCCATGCCTATTCTGTATACCAGGTGTTAGATCTGTCTCTCCCATAGAGCTAACACTCTACTGGTGAGATTTATACCTATTCTGCATTCCAGATCATGGATCTGTCTCTCCCACAGAGCTGACACGCACTGCATGACATACTCCGCTATACACCAGAGCTAACAATCTAAGCAGCACACTACATTACATATCTCCCCTGTACAACAGAGCTGACAATCTAAACAGCACTGCATCTATAATCTGTCTGTACCACAGAACTCACAATCTAAACGTCACACTACAGATATTTACCCTGTACAAGAGAGCTGACAATCTAAATGTCACACTACACATATTTCCACTGTACCAGGGAGCTGACAATCTAAACGTCACACTACACATATTTCCCCTGTACCAGAGAGCTGGCCATCTAAATGTCACACTACATATATTTCCCCTGTACTAGGGAGCTGACAATCTAAATGTCACACTACACATATTTCCCCTGTACCAGAGAGCTGGCCATCTAAATGTCACACTTCATATATTTCCCCTGTACTAGAGAGCTGACCATCTAAATGTCACACTGCACATATTTTCCCTGTACCAGAGAGCTGACAATCTAAAGTCACACTACACATATTTCCCCTGTAGCAGGGAGCTGACAATCTAAATGTCACACTACACATATTTCCCCTGTACTAGGGAGCTGACAATCTAAACGTCACACTACACATATTTCCCCTGTACCAGAGAGCTGGCCATCTAAATGTCACACTACATATATTTCCCCTGTACTAGGGAGCTGACAATCTAAATGTCACACTACACATATTTCCCCTGTACCAGAGAGCTGGCCATCTAAATGTCACACTTCATATATTTCCCCTGTACTAGAGAGCTGACCATCTAAATGTCACACTACACATATTTTCCCTGTACCAGAGAGCTGACAATCTAAAGTCACACTACACATATTTCCCCTGTAGCAGGGAGCTGACAATCTAAATGTCACACTACACATATTTCCCCTGTACCAGGGAGCTGACAACCTAAACGTCACACTACAGATATTTCCCCTGTGCCAGGGAGCTGACAATCTAACCCAAGCACTGCATTACAAATCTCTTCTGATGAAAGATGACAGTGTAAAACTTCAGTGAATCAGCTGGGCAGTGCTCACAGCACAGATCATCTAGACCACAGAGCTGACATTTCAATAGTTCAATAAATGGCTCCAGGAAGACTTCTAAGTGTTTGAAGCTGTGCTCATCCCAATTATTCGGTCTGTGTCATGTCTTTTATATTAATATTATTATTGGAACTATAATAATAATATTGGTATTTTAATGTTCCGGCATACTCTGCACAGTACTGTGTAGATGACCCAAGATAAATGGGGTAGTGGAGCATTTTGTGAGCCGAGGTGTTGCATTTACGGTCCTTTTATACAGTGTGTGACAGTTTGTTGTATTTAGTGTATATATACTGTGTGTATGGATTAAGTACCTATATTTTGTAAATAGTGTGT